TATATATTTTATATAGTCCTGCATAACTACCATTTTAAGAGCTCTTTATTGTTCATCCAGGAGCATACTGCAACTTCTCTTACCTTTCGAATTATGCTTTTTGTTATTTCCTATATGCTACATCTGGAGGTATTAGAATATTTCAAGTTTGTATAACTGGAGAATATTTGTTTTTAGTTTTCAAAGGTATGTTTGCTAAGTATAAAATTCAGAGAGGACAGATTTTTTTTCTTTATTTCAGTCCTTTAGTCTAGTTTCTTACACACTTGTGTTTTTATTTCTTTTATTTCTAATGTGAAATAAGATACTATTTAATTTTATTCTTCCATAGCTAATATTTTTTATGTGTATACTTTAATGATTTTTTCTTTACAATAAATTTTGGACAATTTCATTTTTGTGTATCTTGGTATGATTTTACTCAAATTTCATGTACAAAAGGTTCATTTTTCTTGGAAATGTGGTGCTATAAATTCAACTAAACTCAGAAATTTTAGATCTTTAAATATTTATTGCCTACCCCTTTCTACTTGAGAATTCTAATTATATGAATATAAGTTTCTTGACTTTGACACAGAATAAACTATTATATGACTGATCTATGATTTCTTTCTTCTTTGTTTTTATTTTGGACAGTTTTTATTGTTATAATCATTTAAGTTTGTAAATTATTTACAGTTTGAAATCTATTAATCTCATGTAATGTATTCATTTCAGAAATAGTTCTCTAAAAATCACTCTTCTCCATCTTATATATTTCACATCTCAATATTTGTCTACAATTTTTAATATATGTAATTATTGATTTTCAATAAAGTTAATGAAAAAAATAAAACATATATTGCAATGTGTGAAGAAAGAAACATTCTGAAATATGAATTACTCCTGGTCCGAAGCATTTCAGGTAAAGGATGCTCAATTTCTATATCCAAACTAGAGTGAGATAGGAGTATATAGAGAAGTTGAGGGTACTTGAGAGGAGGCAGATTGGAATATTAACTGGCGATCTAAGGGCACCTTGTTGAGATGGAGCCTCTGGGGCAAAGAGCTGAAGGAGGTCAGGGAGTGAGCCAAGGTTGAGCTGGGAAGAGCCAGCTAAAAAGAGCAGCCAGATATTGCTGTGAAGTAGGAGCATTCCTGGAGTCCAGTGTCTAGAGCGGTGAGCAGTAGAAGAGACCAGGAAGACAAGGGGAAAGCAGGGCAAGGGTGATTAAGAGGGAAAACTTTGAAGCAGCGAACACTTGTCAGTCAACATTCTGTGACTATCTACTCAGAATTGCAAACTCTCATTTAGTCCCAAAACACAACCATTTTGGTGTCTTCCTTTCAGTGTCCTGGGATGGAATGATGTTCTTTGTGAACCCCTAGGGAGGATTGGCTTAACTGCCAGCTGATACTTGCCACACTGGCAGTATGCCATCATTCAGCTTGGATGGGTTCTTCTGAGTCTGTTTTTAAGAGACTTTAATATCTTATCTATTTATACGGAGAAAACAAACATGAATAGTTCTTGAATGTTTCATATGCCAACTACAGGATAAACTGAGTTGCTTACCAACATACTGCTTCCAAAATTCAGTCTATAAAGAAAAAAAAGAGGGCAAATTAATGGTAGCATTCGAAATGTTTTCATGTTGACTTCTCTTTTATGCCAGTTATAATGCAAAAGCATATGCATTTTAAAATTCCAAAGAAAAATATGTCTTTTTAAGGTTTTTTATCATTTGTTCTGCATCTGAAGGAGAGCTTGTGGAAATACTCACAGTTTTTTCAGTATTTTCAAAAACTTCTCGTGCTTCTTCAAAATTACACCGTTCTTCTAAACATTCTCTCTCAAGGTTTCCTTGAGCAAACTCTTCTAATTTCCCTGAATTATACCTCTTCAGCCGATTCAGAATTTTCGTGGCATTTTCATGATCAAGAAAAACTGAAATGTGAAAGAACTATTCTTTAGTTAAAAAAGAAAACATTATGCAAATTAAATGCATCTCTTAAGAGTGGCTTTGTTTTTAATCCAAGTAATCCGAAAGCCAATTTCTCCTTAAGGCATGGAGCCAAAATCTGTAATGCTTTCTCAGTACTGTATATACATGGAGATTTAGGAATTAAAATTCAATTTTAGTTTTAGTCAGGAGAGTTCCAATAATAAAAGGTCAGATTTTCAATTGTACTTGAATTTACTTTGGATGGAAAAGAAAGTTCTCAAATAAGCAGTTAACTTCACACTTTGTCATCGCTTGAAAATAGCTCATTGCAGATCCTTGCAAGGCGATCCATCACCCTGGCTGGACTGTGTTTTCAGGATGCAGTTGCCCAATGACTTTGCAACAAATGTGGGTTGAAGAACAGAAGCCCAATTTTGGTCTAGCTGCAAGTGTGACCCCAGTGCCTTTCACTGGACAGAAAAGAAAAATCACTGCATTATTTTTTTTTAATCCTCAGACACAGAACACCTTTGGCTGGTATATGCAATAGGAATTCCAGAAATGTAAGTATTTCTCAGGAATTTAGAGTGTGGTTTATTTTAGCTACATCTGTCTAGTCTGCGGAGACTCCCACAATCTGGAAGATAGAATCCATTTTCTGAAATCCTTCTCACCTGCCCTCCATCCCCATCCCAGTTTCTGTGCCTGTCTGTCTGTCTTTGTATATATGTACATATAGGCACTTGTATCTATGGGCATATGTAACATTAATAATAAAAGCTTAAGAAAGTAGCCTGGAGTTTTTTTTTTTCTTATTCAAGAGACCAGTAATAGATCTACTATCAGTTGAACAGGATGAAATATGTATAAGATGAAATTTCCAGGGCATTTGGGACTACTTTCTCATTAACTCCAAAAAGAAAAAGAAATGAAAGAAAGAAACTGAAGTTTATTACCTTATTTTCATTGCAGCTGTTCACTTTATGAAGCATTCTATTGCCTTTCTATCTTTGCTCTGCAAGTCCCCATGCTCACTTTTCTCTTGCATTTAGCCTAGGCTTTTTTTCCTACTCTTTACCTGCCAACTTTTTCATTCCCTTCACCCTTGTCAATGTTATGCCTCCCTAGCAATGCCAACCTCTAGAATTGTGCAGCTATCTGCCATCTTGCTTTTCCTCTAGGCAGCTGCTAAACAGTTGGAAGGGGTGAGGAGCTGGATCACCAAATTGCACAAGGGTGCCATCACATACTGATGCCTGCCAGCTCCCCCAGGTCTTTCTCTCTGCTCAGCAATTCATTTACTTGGCCCTGGGCACTCCTAAATAGCATCCATGCTTGTAACCATGTATAGCATGGTCAAGTGGAAAACTAGGACTTAGAATCAGATCACAGAGACCTGGGTTTGAGTCACCAATCAGAGTCCCATTAATGGTGTGACCTTGGGCAAGTCACATAATGCATGAACCTTAATTTTCTCAAATATACAATGAATGCAAAGGTAACGTGATGAAGTTCATTGCCTAACTATGTTGACAAGATCAGGGATATAATATGTAGATAGGCATATGCTCATTATCTCTCTTTCCATTCCTTTCATGTGTACCCATTTACTTTCCTTAATGTTCTCAATTCCCTTTAGCTCTTTAGTGCATTTCTGGGTCTTTTTCTTCCTCAGTGTGATCCATGAAATAGAACCATTATTGTCAAAATCAGCCATGACCTCCCAAAAGGCAATTTCAATCTTATGAATTTCTGACTGCTCTAAAAAGTTTCTAATAGTTGATCTCTCCTCTTCCAAGAAACACTTTCACGCAGTCCACCCCTTGTCTCTCTTGCCTTTGCTCTAAATCTCATTGTCCACTTACCTCCTGAATTAGTTAATTCCCTGTCCTCCACCTGATCATTACATTCCCAGGCTCTCCCAGGCTCCAGCCTTAAATCTTCTCTTTCATTTCAAAAGTCTGCATTAGCTTGAGACTAGGGTGAGAAATAGAAGGCAACCACAGCACATTTAAGGACACCTCCCTCTTATGGTGTGCAAGTGTATTCATGCCCTATAGGCCTCACTTGCTGTACTCTCCTATGGTCCTGGCCCTTTCAACACGATTTTACTGAATGCTCACCTACTACCCCAAGCTACTTGCTCAGTGTCACAATATTCATGCTTATTCCTGAATGCTCACACACATATGGATGCAACTGCTGGTTATACCACGTAGACTCCTGAATCTCCCTTTCTAAGCAGATATATTTTTATGGAACTCATATTATCTTTCCAGCTCCCTAAATGTATACCAGAATAGGGATGGTGCTTGCTAATGTTTACATTGCTTTTTTGCTGTGCTTGCCAATGCTCAGTACTTTGCCTCCATTTTTATGTCACTTCATTCTCACAATAGGCTTATGACACCGTAGGTCTCATTTCATGGGACCACGTTATCTGATTTGTGTAAATGAGGGCAACTAACATTCCTAGAGGCTAAGCAATTTGCTCAAGGTAACATATTAAAGAATTTAGACTTTGATAGTCAGACTACTGAACCTATGCTCTTCGGCACTGTTCTGTGTCCCAAAAATACATCAAACTCAAAGTGGCCAAGATATGCTTTATATAGCTTCCCTTCATCTTCTACATCCCATTGTCATTAGATCATATGAGTTCTACTTCTTTAATATCATTTTCTGCACAGTACTGTATTGGTTTCAGCCCCTGTGCTTCCCCTGGATGATTATACGAAGCTTAAGATTGCTCTCCCCAGCCTTCCTCCACCACGATAAATTCATTAGAATATTCCAATCTGAGCCTCTCACTCAGCCATGAGTGCTACTTCTTATGCTTACACACTACTTATACAATGCATTCTATTTTACTGCCCAAACTTCTTAGTTTAGGGCCTTTATTATCTAATGACCTGGCCTGGACAAGTTATTCTGCCTCATTTGTCAAAGTCAATATTCAACCTAGATGGAGCTCCTAAAGTACCTCACAATGCTGTGGATCTGGATCCTTCCACATGAAGGATCTTTTTTCTCCATGGAATGCACAGATCAGGTATTTAAGGATAATGAGATTGTGAAGAATTAGCTCCGAATATTGACTCTCTGTTGGGTCTTTCACCATGTATTGTGTTCCTTCTTTTGTGATCCATTAGCATGTAGAACATATTTTATCAAATAATATTAAGCCTTCTTGCCTGATCTTGTGGGGATTTTGGTCAAAGAGAGCCCCTGGTCTCTCCCTATGTCCCTAGTTCCTTGCCACAGTACCTGCTATCATAGTAGTAACCCAGTAATGTCTGAATGAATGAAAGTTTTGATCCATATAATTGTTGAAACTGAATTGACTTCCCTGAAAAATTTTGATTTCAAAATTTCAAATCAATGCAATAACACCTAAGAGCAGCAACTGCGAAAATATATCTCCTCCTTTTAGCAGATAATGACTGTTTAACACAGTTCAGTGCTGTGCAGTAATGCTGCTCATATACAGGGACACTCCCCAGGCCCATTTCTCAGCAGCCTATTATCTCTGACAAGTAGCTCCAGAATGCTAGTGCCTTTCTCACAATTCAGTATTGTCTACAATTCATACATTTAACTTGCCTTCAGGATTACCTGTAATCATTACTTCCCTGGCTCTGAAATCCTGGCTCCTCTTTTTTCTATCCTTTTTGCTATATCTGAGATTTTCTGGGGGCAGCAGTGCTCTTAAAACTAGCATCTCACCATTTCTTTCAAAGAAAGGCTTTGGATCCTTTGTCCTCTTTCATGTCACACTGATGATATATCTAATGACTGGCCTTTATGGTCTGCTTTGTAAATTTTCTAATATATTTTCTTTAGCCCTTAACTTTACCCACTCTGCTAGTTCAATTTAACCTTTGCATTCTCACACCATTATTTCAGCTCTTCAGTCTGATTGCAAAGCTGACATCATGTCTAGAGTGGAAGCCAGAGGGCCAGTCTGCTTTCTGGGGACACTTAGGGTTGGCACCCCTGATCCTGGATCTGTCAGCTACTAGAGTTGCTTCTAGTAGGTTGACAAGTAAGTGTGATAAATGCTTCCTGTGAGAACATGTGGTTTGTCCAAATGGAAAAGTTCTTGCCTGCATACCTTCCTCTGGAGTATTGTGAGAAATACAAGTCATTGTATCTGTGATAAAACAAAGTGATGTATGTTACATTAACTAAGTTTCTACTTTTTATGTCAATTTGTAGACTTGTTTTTGTTTTCTAGGGAGCTCAGTTGAGTACTGAGTTTCTTCAAATATGAACTCTAAGACATATGGAATCACATACACAAAGATTTATTAAAAATCCATGAAAAACATTCATAGCAGGGGATAGTGGTACATGCCTGTAATCTCAGCATATGGGAATCAGAGGCAGAAGTATCATTGTGAATTCAAGACCAACCTGGGCTACAAAGTGAACTCAAGATTAGCCTGAGCTATATAGTAAGACCCTGTCTCAAAATGACAAAAAAAATTCACAATAAAGAAAAACTCACCAAAGAAAGGTTAACATTCCTACTTAACTAACACTTTAAATGTGTATACAAATAAAAGTATACAATTTAAAAAATCAGAGTCATCTTCATCTTAACCACCCATCAGAAAAGTATAAAAACGAGGTATAAAAAGTAAAGCCATATTAATATGCGGAGATGCAAAAGGCTTAAGTCAACAACTTCTGACACTGCCAGTCCTATGGATAACCCACTGCTATCATGGACTACTGGACTATATTGGATTGTTTTGCTGAATTCAAACACCCATAATATTTAAATGGCAATAGAATATCCATCTCTGACAAAACTAAACAAAAAAGAGGATACAAATGAGGGACCATTTCGTATCTGTATAAACAAAATTGTTAGAATAGATATACAGCTACTTTCTCTTAATTCAGTGAGAAGAAAGATTTGTACTAATAGCGTTTGGACAGGATATCATGTCTGCATCTTGTACTATGAATAACAACTATGAAGACAATAATCTGCAATGTATTCATTGTTGAAACCATCCTACTAACCTGTTTTGAAGTTGTCTCATTGCTATTTGTTTCTCAATAAAATTAATAAAAGAGTAAAAATCAGTCATGCCTCATTATACAGATTTAAAATTTTAAAACATGCCATGTATCTTCAAATAAGACTTTCTGTTGAAATAAGACTATGATTTGTGATTTTGTTGCTTCCCTTTTGATTTCAAAGCAGTTTGAGTGTAGAAAACTAATAACAGGTTTCCCCCATGAGTTCTGCTCTCCTCTTATCAAGTCATTTTCCTAATCTCAACGTTTTTTGTAAACCCAAGAGACAAATATTTTTCTGAGAGGAATTACACTGTCAAATCATAAGCTCAACAGCATCTATTAAATAAAAATTCAGCATAAGTATTGTAAATCTAGTTCGTTTTAAAAGTGAAGATGGTAACCTAGATAACAAAGAACCAGTACATGCCAATTTACATACTAGTACTGCTGGAATCTTAAATAGTGCTGTAAAATCATGTAATAATTTTTTAGTGAAGACAGCTCCAGACATTTTTTTTAATCTAAAAGACAAGTGCCCTGAATGAATTTTTGCAAAAAGAAACAAACCTGCACATTCAGCATTGAGTAGATATCCAAAAAGGCAGATGATGATGAGGCCCCACGATTCTGCCATGATCGTGTTCAGGAGCTGCATAACCTCTGCTGGTAGATTGTGCAAGTTGCAAGACTGATCAATTGTTCCAAAGTACAAGCTGAGCTGTATTTACTTCTGGGAAATAATATCCATCTCCCTCTGCAGACCTTTGGGCTATTTCCAATAGCCTCTTGGGTCATCTGAAAGAACTGGCATTGGTCATCATTAAAGTTCATCTCTGATTACCTGGGGTTCTGTTATGATAGCTGAGTTTGAGCCTGAAGCAGAAAGTGACATATCTGTTGAGTGGAGAGAAATGTAATGACTATAGTTGCCACATGGCATCAAAATACACCAGTGGGTTCCATTTTATCTTTGTCAGGGAAGGGTAACGTCATGTCATTTAAAGGTAAAGATATGGAAAACAACAAAATCTTTTGGTCACTCACTTTAAAATATGCTCGAATCATCTGATAGATTATTTTATGTTCACCATTACTAGGAGTTTATAGCCTTTCTGATGTTATGTACTATGTGGTGAAACATATAGACCCTACCTCAGAACATATATGTGTATGTATATGTATACACATTATACATAAACATATACACATTTATACACACATGCATATATATACAAATAAAGTTGTGAACAGTATAATAGTTCATAGTAATACATAAGAATATACTATCACTTTCCTTTCTTTGTGATATTGTTGTGATGCATTTTGGTTCAACATGTTATAAATTCTATATCACATTATTTTGTGTACATCAGTCAACAAATTTTAAAAAAATTTAAATGTAAAAATGTGAAACATGGGCTGGTGAGATGGCTCAGTGGTCTAAAGCACCTACTTAGAACAAGCTTAGCAAAGCACAGGGACCACGGTTCAATCCCCCAGCACCACATGCCAGCCAGCTCCGCCCCCTGGTGGGCTGAGCTGGCCACACACACACACACACACACACACACAGACAAATAAAAAAAATTTAAAAAAATCTAAAAATAAAAAAATGTGAAACATGTCTTATATTGAGACATGTATTTAGTATTCTAATACTATTTGTGTAAACTCACATTTCAATCTGTTATTTGAATCAATGTAAAGAATATTTAGTAAGAATTTTGATACTGTAATCTGTCATATATCTTCTCAGCTTATGTTTGTTTGAAAATGTCTCCATTTTACCTTCATTTAAAATAATTTAGAGGGCCGAGGAGATTACCTCAGTAGAATAAGTGCCTGCCTGGCAAGTGCAAGGTACTGAATTTGATCCCTGGTACCACCAAAAAAATTAATAATACAAATAAATAAATAAATAAAATTATTTGGATAGGACTGGCCAAATAGATCAGTTGATTAAAGCGCCTGCAAGCAGGGACCAGAGTTCGATCCCTGGGCCTGCCATGCTGGTCCTACCGCCGGGGCATGCTGAGACAGCAATCGAGACTGGGCGGTGGTGTGGGCCTGTAATCCCAGCTCTTGGGAGGCTGTAAACAGGCGGATCAATACGAGTCCGATCTAGTAGTGAGACCCTGAACACTCTGTAGGCGCTTCCCTAAAATACAAAAAATAAAATAAAATAAATTAATTTGGATAATACAGAATTCTTGGTTGAGTGTTTTCCTTTCTTTCAGTACATTAAAAATGTCTTCCCATTGTCTTCTGGCCTGCATTATTTCTGATGAGAAGGCAGTAAATATCCTTATCACTGATTTGCAGTAACTTGACTACAGTGAGCCAAGATTTTTTTTTAAGCAGGGAAGAGCACGAATGCAGTCCCCACTCCCACAAATCTTGCAGTCGAGTCTCCCGCATTTGGGGAACTCGCAGGGGTCAGCACATCCGGAGAGCAATGGATAAACCTCTCCCTGGGAAAACCACCTTCGTGATCATGCTGTCTCCCATGCCAGGTAAGTATAAGCCAAGATGATTTTGCTCAGGTACTTGGATCTGTGGATTGATACTTTTAAAAATGTGGACTTTGGGGGCCTTATTTTTAAAATTTTTGTTTTTAACTTATTATAGGGTCACAGGAAACTGCAAAGGCAGTAAAAACCGGTCCCATGTCTTTCACCCAGTTACTGCCAATGTTTGAATCTTATATAAATATAACACAACACTAAAACCAGGAAATGGTCATTGGTGTAATGTATATGTATAATGCAAGTCATTTTACTGCAGGTATAGACTTATGTGATCGCCACTACAGTCGATACAGTCAATTTTCAGAACACTTCTATCACCACGATGATCTTACTTGTATAAGCTAAAACCTTATACACACTTATCATCCACTTAATACTCCCTAACTCCTTGCACCACTAAAGTGTTTTAGCTCTATAATGAAAATGCTATATAAGTGTAATTATACAGTGTATGACCTTAAGAAATGGTGTTTTTTCATTCAGCACAATGCCCTTGAGATTCACCTAAGTTGTTGTATATTCCAATAGTTAATGTTTTTATTGCCAAGTAATATTCCACAGTAACAATGTAGCACAGTTTAACTTGCTAAGAAGCGTATCAATTGTTTTCATTGTTTTAAATTTTTTAATGTATTTGGTACAGGGTCTGCAAGGTCTACAGGGTCTCACTATGTAGACTGGACTCCTAGTGATTCTCCTGTTTTCAGCCTCCCAAGTGCTGGGATTATAGGCACGGATCACCATGCCCAGTCTCAATCGCTGTCTCAGTGCGCCCTGGGGGAGGGGCCCACAAGGCACACCTGGGATCAAAACCTGGCCACTGCGTTCTGCCTAAGCAGGTGCTTCAGTCTGCTGAGCTATCTGGCTGGCCCTGTTTTCATTGCAATAATGTACTATGAGTATTCATATACGGGCTTCTGTGTGACTGTAACTTTTTTCTGTAATTAATGCTCAAGAAATAAACTTCTTTGTTACTTAGTAGTTAAGTGTTTAGTTTTTTAATAATCTGCCAAACTACCAAAGTGACTGTGCACTTATCATTTCTACAAGCAATGGATCAGTGATCCAGCTTGTGTGCATCCTTACAAAATTTTGACATGCTCACTATTTTCTAGTTTACTCATTATGAAAGATATGTATCAAAATTTCATTGCGCTAATTTTCTTTTTCATTTTTATTAGTACACACTGGCAGTACATAATGATCACAGTCCTCATGGGGAATTGGTGCATGTATACCACATATTTTAATTATGTTTTTCTATCCATGTTCCCCCCCTTCCTTTTTCTCCCTCCCTCCATCTCTTGGTCCTCTTCCTTTTTGCAAAAGATCAATCTCTCCTTTTCCTGTTATATGTTTTTATCTTGCTGTTTACTTATATCTTCGGTGTCTCATGTAAGAACCACTGCATGATATTTAATCTGGTTTGTCTGATGTACTTCACTTCATGAAAAAATATTTCCAATAAGTGCAAATTATTATTATTATTATTTTGTATTTTAGGGAAGGGTCTACAGGGTGTTCAGGGTCTCACTACTAGAGTGGACCCATAGTGATCCACCTGTTTACAGCCTCCCAAAAGCTGGGATTACAGGCATACACCACCATACCCAGTTTCAATTGCTGTCCCAGTGTGCCCCCGGGGAAGGGCCAGTAAGGCAGGTCCAGGGATCAAACCCCCAGCCCCTGTGCCTGCTTGTAGGCACCTTAATCCACTGAGCTATTTGGCCAGCTCAGTAAGTGCAAATTAAAACACTGAAATTCCATCTTCTTTCCAAAAGAATGGCTATCATGAAGAATCAAATAACAAGTGCTGGTGAGGCTGTGGGGAAAAACAAATGCTTCTGCATTGTTGGTAGGAATATAAACTAGTATCACCACTCTGAAAATAAGAATGGCTATTCGTAAAAAGAAAACTAAGATAGGAATTCTATTTGACCCAAACATTCTTTTTCTAGGTTTCTTTCCCAAAGAGTTAAAGACATCCTATTACAGTGATGCATGTATACCATGCTTATAATAGCAGTACAACACAGAATAGCTAAGTCTTGGAAATGGCCTATAGCTCCATCAATAGATAAACAGATAAAGAAATTTCTACACTATTAACTTGTGTTGCTGAAGAGCAAATGATTTGAGTACCTTATCATTTAATTACTCATCATCTGCACATCCTCTTCAGTGAAATGCCTGTTCATGTCTTGCCCATTTTCTAATTGGATTGTTTGATTTTTCTTAATGTTGGTTTTTTAAGCTTGTTTATGAATTCTGGACACAAGTCCTTTATTAGTTATTTGGATTGTAAATACTTTGTTCAATCCTATAATTTGTTTCCTCATCCTTTTGATGAGGTCTTTCACAGAACAGAACATTTTAGTTTTTTTTTTCTTTTATTTATGTGTGTGCGTGCGTGTGTGTGTGTGTGTGTCCAGCTCAGACCTCCAGGGGGCGGGGCTGGCTGGCATGTGGTGCTGGGGGATTGAACCATGGTCCCTGTGCTTTGCTAAGCTTGTTCTAAGTAGGTGCTTTAGACCACTGAGCCATCTCACCAGCCCCAAAATTTTAGTTTTGATGCAGATCAGTTTATCATTTTTCTCTTTTGTGAATAACCTTTGGAAGTCTTCCACTAACACAAGGTCCTTAGGACTTCTTTAATGTTTTAGAAGTGTATGGTTTTTAGATTTAGGTTTATATCCATGCACCATTTTGAGTTGATTTTTGTATAATGTATAAGGTTGGGATCAAATTTCATGCTTTACCCTGTGAATGTACAATTCCTCTAGCACCCTGTTATAGTAAATACTCTACCTCTGTAGAATTATATTTGTACATGTTTCAGGGAGCATGTCAGCATCTTGCTTTGGGCCTATTTCTAGGTACCACATACTATTTCTAGCAGTACATTGTCACGATTATTATAACTGTATGGAAAGTATTTTATTGGGTAGAGGAATTCTCACTATTTTACTCTTCTACGGAAAAACTGTAATAAAGATTCTAAGGACCTAAGCTTTTTTTTTTTGTATTTAGTACAGTGTCTACAGGGTGTTCAGGGTCTCACTACATAGATCGGGCTCACAGTGATTCTCCTGTTTTCACCTTCCCAAGTACTGGGATTACAGGTGCCGACCACCCTGCCCAGTCTCAATTACCCATCTGAGCATGCCTAGAGTGTGGGGGCAGGGACGGCACGGCAAGCTGGGAATACAACCCAGCTACTGCACTATGCTTAAGTAGGCGCTTTAGTCCGCTGCCCTATTTGGCCAGCTCTTCTTTTTCTTTTTTGTAATTAAATTTGTTAAAATTTATATATGTATAGTGATTACAGTCATCATAGGGAATTTGTACCTATACATGATATATCTTAATTCCTCTTTTATTACCATTCACCTCTCCTCTCTTCAACCCCTTTTCCTCTCCTTATTTACATAGCTTTGTTTATATTTTATCCTTTATTGCTCATATTTTTCCTTTGTCTTCCATCCCGTGATTCACCATTCCCTTTGATCAATTACTTCCTATTTCACAATGTCTATCATGCATTTTGGTTATTTGCACTTGTATCATCTCATGCAAGACAGATGTGTGTAATTTATTTCACTGAAGAGTATAGTCTCAAGGTCCATTCATTTAGCTATAAATGTCTCAAATTTATCCTTTGTTATGGCTGAGTAATACTCCATCGAATTAAAAAAAAACACGTTTTTGGGGCCTGGGGAGATAGCTTAGTAGAATAAATGCAGGGTTCTGAGTTCAATTCCAGGTTCCATAAAACAAAACATTTTTCAATCATTTGTCAGTTATTGGGTATTTGGGTCATTTTCAAATTTAGCTCTCATAATTTGTGCTGGTACAAATATTGATGCATAAATATTGGTATTTGTGGTATGGTGCTTTTAATTCTTTTGACAAGATACCAAAAAGGGGAATATGTTGGTCAAAGGGATCCTGTAGATCAAATTTTCTGAGGAATCTCCACACTGATTTCCGTAATGCTCATACCAGTGCACATTCTCAGCAAAAGTTCCTTCTTTCTTCACAGTGCCCCTAGGATTAGTTATCAGCTTGTTTGTTGATCATAGCTGTTCTTTCTTGGGTGAAGTGGAATCTGAGAGTTATTTAATCTGGAACTCTCAGATGATCAGTAACTTGTTTATCATTCATACTTCTGAGAAGTGCATGTTCATTTCAGATGCCCATTTTTGAACTGAGTTTTTAAATTTGGGAGATATGATGTTTTTTCACTTGTTTATGTGTTCTAGATATTATTCCTTTTTCTGAAGAACAGTAGGCTAAAACTTTTTCCCAGTCTGTGCACTGTCTTTCACTCCACTGGTAATTTCTTTTGCTGTGTAAAGGCTTTTTAAGAAGATAAAATCCAATTTGTTGATTCTTTGTAATATTTCTTACACAGTTGAAGGTTTGTTCATGAAGTCTTTGCCTATGAATATAGCTTCCAGGGTTCTACTTCCAGGAGATAGTGTTTATGTTTAATATTTAGATCTTCAATTTATTTTGATTTTCATTTAGCATTGATGATATACATGGGTCTAGTTTTATTTTTGTCATGTGGAAAGCAAATTTTTCTAGGACCATTTATTAAAGAGGTTTTCTTCCACTAAGCATATTAGCCCTTTTGTCAAGCATAAGGTGATCGAGTGTGTTTGAAGTTCTTATTCTAATCCATTACGTTCAACCTCAGCTCCTTTTTTTTGCCAGTACCATATTATTTTTTTTATCACAGTAGCTATGTAGCATAACTTAAAGTCAGGGATTGGGATAGATGCTAACTTGTCTTTCTTTCCCAGATTTGCCTTGGCTATTCTAGGTCTGTTCTGATTCCAAATATATTATAGGAATATTTTCTCTCTACATACCATACATGCTAATGGTATTTCAATAGATATTATATTAAATCTGTATAACAATTTTGAGTGTGGCAGTTTTTACTGTTGGTTCTTTCTTCCTTTGAGCAAGGGTTATTTTTCTATTT